GGTGGGGTGATCACTTGAGCCTGGGAGGTCAAGGCTGCAGTGAGGGGAGATTGCATCACCGCACTCCAGCCTGGGTGACAGAGCAAGACCCGGTCTCAAAAAAAAAAAAAAAAAATTTTTAAAGCATTAGCAAACAATATTTTAGAGAAAAAGCTCCAGAAATTTCTCAAGTAAGCAGTATGTTCAAGCTAGTAAAACAACACTACAAATGACCACTAATTGCACATATACTACATCAGAATCTATGATTAATCCCTGTATCAACTGAGTAAGAATTATAATATTCATTGTATAGACATATAAATTGACTAATAGAGAACCTGCCACAATCACAATATTGTAATTAACTAATAGAAGTAGAATCTGAACCAAAGTCCACCTAGTATAACTTCCTAGAGGCTAATGCCTAAAGATTTCAGCTTCAAGTCAAAGCCTGAGGACTGGCTCTTGAAATAGACAAATCCCTATATAAATATGCTGCACATATGTGTGTGTATATACATATATATATATATAATTTCTTTTTCTTTTTTTTTTTTTTTGAGACAGAGTTTTCTCTGTTGCTCATGATGGAGTGCAGTGGCACAATCACAGGTCACTGCAGCCTCAACCTCCTGGGCTCAAGCAATCCTTCCACCTCAATCTACCTCCTGAGTAGCTAGGACCACAGGTGTGCGCCACCACACCCAGCTAACTTTTGTATTTTTTGTAGAGACGGGGGTTTGCCTTGTTTTCCAAGCTGGTCTCAAACTCTTGAGCCAAGTGATCAGCCTGCCTAAGTCTCCCAAAGAACTGAGATTACAGGCATGAGCCACTGCATCCAGCCAGATTAAATTTTCTAATGTTTTTTTGAGATAAGGTCTTGCTCTATTGACCGGGTTGGAGTATAGTGGCATGATCTTGGCTCACTGCAGCCTTGACCTCCTGCAGTCAAGTGATCTTCCAGCCTCAGCCTCCTGAGTAGCTGGGACTACAGGCATGGACCACCACACCCAGCTATTTTAATTTTGTTTTTTTTTTTTTGTAGAGACAAAGTCTTACTATGTAACCCAGGCTGGTCTTGAACTCCTGGCCTTAAGCAATCCTTCTATCTCAACCTTCCAAAGTGCTGTGATTACAGGCATCAGCCAACACAGCCCACCCAGACTAAACTTTCAAAAGCAATACCTAAATACTGAAAATAAATGAAACAAATCAACCTAGATATGTATCAGTGGGTGATACAACCATACAGAATGGAAAGAACTTAAAACACGGTGATTTGTTCATCCCCAGAGGGAAACATCCTTGCGAAAAATATGTCTAAAAAAATCTTAAATTACTTTCAGTAACTGCATTGGTGGTAGTGTTGGTATAATCATTCTAAAGTTGTTGTATGTGTACCATAAGATAAAGTAAATGGTTATCTTGGAAGTACCATATGAATTGAAGGTCTGTTTTATCTTAAAAGTAAAAATAAGCAAAAACAAAGAAAACAACTCCAACATTTTCTCTAGCATTGTACATTGAAAAGACCTAGAAACAATGAACAACTCAGTAGCAGTGAACACCTCCACCACCTAGATTGTTGTCTTGAAATACCATTTACCACTATAAAGAAGAAATGCCTAATTATAGTTCTAGAGCAGGAAATGGCACATCTTTACATACCATCAAGCAAGGAATCAATCAAAGTCTACTAGGATCATGCTGAAAGGACTCAAGAGCCAACTTGATGAGGCTCTCACTACATGGAACAATGTAAGCATTAAGGATAATAACTGTGATGGACCAAAATACATTACATATATACAAATCCATGAGTTTGAAATGAATCTAAAGAGGAAAAAAGAAAAAATTAAGAACTGGCCACTGTCAGAGATGCCAGTGACCCAGCTCAATATTCTGAAAATTGGTAAATAAAAAGGAAAGAATCAAACATATATCCTGGCTTTCCTGTGTAAATGATACCACAGGGTAACCAAATAGTAAATAAGGGGAAGTTTCTCTTTCTAGAAACATTCCAACATATACAGAAGAAATGATAGAATTAGAATAGCATCCCTTTGCAACCCCTACTTGGGTATGAATCATCAATGATTGGTACCATCACAAAAAGACAACCAGATATTATGTGCATCCAAATAGAAGAACACAGTACTATACCTACGAGGCGGCTGTGTATGTGCTGGGGTGGGGTGTTAACGCTGAATTTGAGAGCAAGCCTCTAGATGCTACAACCAACTTAACAATTTACAAAAAATACAATAAACAAAGGAACATGTTGACCACCACAGGAATGTAATCAGCAAAATCCAGGCCTTGGAAGCTCTACAGTGGCGACTGGCAAACTACATGAGATGCCTGTTTTTGCTAACCCTTGCTCTGTGGGATAAGCAAGTTGCTTTTTTCAACAAATAAAATAGTAAGAGGAAAACAGATGGAAGGGAAAACCTCCTAAAACATTTCAATCACAACATACAGATCTTACTGGTATCTGGATTTAAACAAGACATAATGGAAAAAAAAAACCTATAGAAAAATTGAACATTTGAATCCTAACTGTATATTTCATAATATTAAAATTTTTATTTTAGGAGTGCTAATATAAAAAATAAGAATTCTCTTTTAGAGATACATACTGAAATTTTTCAAGGGAAATATGTTTGGATTTGTTTCAAAATAATGCAGAAGGGAGAAAGTAAACAGAAGCATAGAGGAAAATAAGACTGGCCATTAACTGAAAACAGCTGAAGCTGGGTGATGGTTACATTATGAAGTATCCCTGAATGCACATAGTAATAGACTCAGTAAGCATGTTTAGATACATTAGATCATATGGAACCTAGATACATTTATGTTTCTAGATGTTCCATGAGACATTATTTAGAAAGAGGAAAAAGGTCATTTTAAAGAAAACTTCTCTAAAAATGTAACCTCATCTTTTGATACAATATGGCGAATCTTGCTCCTCGATAAGAAATACATAACTGTTCTTCCTTCAGATATATTTCCATCCATTTAAAAAATGTTTGTAATGAAGTTTATTATTTAAGTGGGTATCCTTAGATATGATGCCTTCATACAACTCACACAGTGGACAACTATAGGAGTGATCCTTGACAGAAGCTAATATCCAGCTGCCAAATAATATAAAGACCTCAACTTCCCCTTTTTGCAAATCAGTAATCTAGAAAAGGTACTCTCTCGATTTAAGAGTTAATTTTCCTCATAGATTCTTTTTTTTTTTCAAGACAAGTCTCGGTCTATTGCCCAGGGTGGAGTGCAGTGGCACAATCTTGGCTCACTGCAACCTCTGCCTCCCAGGTTCAAGCCATTCTCCTGCCTCAGCCTCCCAAGTAACTGGAACTACAGGTGTCCAACACCAGGCCTGGCTAATTTTTTGTATTTTTAGTAGAGACCAGGTTTCACCATATTGGTCAGGCTGGTCTCGAACTCCTGACCTTGTGATCCACCTGCCTCGGCCTCCCCAAGTGCTGGGATTACAGGCATGAGCCACAGCGCCCAGCCCCTCATAGATTCTTTATCACCAGGAAATCAATGTACTTAGGGACAGCCTTACAGACTTTCACCATTCTAATATTTCCTTTCTGAATATTCCAAATGATCAGCAACATTTCTCCCAGAAATGCAATTTTTCTCCAAAATGCAACTTCTCCTCCACTGCAACACACAGAGAGGCAATATATAGCCTCAGAAGCATCTGTGGCTCACTAGCATTTCAAAGGCAAGAGCACTGCAGGAAAGAAAGCATGCAGGGGCCATCAATAAGTAGTCCATGAATACAAGGCCCAAGTACTCTTCTAGGAAATACTACCCAGAGGAAATAACTGACCTGATGACTATTTTTTCTGAATCTAGTAAACAGAGGAACCCGTATCTCTATTTGAAAGTACACCATTTAAAGAGGACATGATCCTCTCCTACTTAGCTAACTGTGGTAATTCTAGAACTAATACATGCCAATGGGCACTGACTCCCTTCGCCGGGGATGCGTGCATTTATTTATCAGATGAAAACCAACTCAGATCAAAACCACCAAACCCTCTCTGGTTTTTATAAGATTAAAAATTAAAATGAAATTAAGAGGACACAAAAACAAAGGGTTCTTTAGTTACAGATACGAGAAAAAGACAAAGGATAATTTTTTATGCAGAAATTGATCTGCAGATGTCTGCTTATAACATCTGTAAGTCACTTTAAAAAGTCCACTATGTGTATCACATTAGCAGCAACACGTTATTACACATTGAAGTGCAGTTATTTGCAATACACACACCCCCCAAGTAAATTTCTAGAAATTTTTAATCATTTTTAGACTATGCCTGTTACAGGAGTGTTAAATTAACAAAATTTTAAATAAAGCTTTGAAAAGGATATTAATACTTTTAAAAGACTTATTTTACATCAAGTGACAAGAAAAAAATCAAGAAGAATGTAGACTTCTCAAAAGACTAGTAACCAGAGTTAGGTTTTACAGAAAGGATGGACTTTTTTCTAAAATTCTGAAAATGATAGGAAACTCATAATAACTCCAATTATCTTTCTGGCAACAGAAATTTCAGCTGCCGATCTTTTTGTTTGTTTGTTTTTGTTTTTTTTTGAGACACAGTCTCACTCTGTTGCCCAGGCTGGAGTGCAGTGGTGCGATCTCGGCTCACTGCAAGCTCCGCCTCCCGGGTTCACGCCATTCTCCTGCTTCAGCCACCTGAGTAGCTGGGACTACAGGTGCCCACCATCACGCCCAGCTAATTTTTTGTATTTTTAGTAGAGACAGGGTTTCACTGTGTTAGCCAGGATGGTCTCAATCTCCTGACCTCGTGATCCACCCACCTCGGCCTTGCCAATAGTTTTAAGTACTTTGTGTATGTCACGTAAATAACTCAGTATTAAATTTAAGACAGTTACATGAATTAAAGAATTATGAAGTCAAAATAAGATTCCTTTTCCAAGCCCTTCCACCCACAATATCAAATTCATAGGACTAAATGTAAACTTACTTGGGCTGTTAGAAAGGTATCATCTTCACCTTCTTGAGCTTCAATTTCCTATGTAAAAGGGTATACAATAGCTTTGCTTTACAAAATATCTGGGTAACATGAGAATGCTTTTATGCTTATACCTGATTATCATTTGCCTTGTTTTCTGTATAATGTCTATGATACCATGGGTACTAAATCAATGCTTAATATTCAGACTATATTTTATGCCAAAAAAAAATTAGCCATGTCGCTAGAGAATTAGAAACATTTCTCATGAGCTCCTCATTTATTAGGTAGGTAGAAGTGAAGTGTTTTAAGCATGAATACTAACAGCACTGACTCCTTAACCCACTGACTTTCTTAAAATGTACTAACATACTTCAAAGCAGGACAAATGGTCTATTTCAAAGAAAATATTTGGAAATATTATCTACTTTAAAATTAAACTTTCATAAGTAATTCCCCACCCTTGATATAACCAAAGAAATGTAAATTAAAGTAACCTTTTATACTTGCTAAGGTAGCAGAAAGGGGAAAAAACCCTACCACCAAGTAATGCTGGCAATGCCAGAATGAAATTGGTACATTCTTTCATCGTGGAGTAGGGAAAAAGCCTTAAAACTTAAAATGTCCAAAATGAAAGGAGTATATTAGAATTGTAGAAAGCAGTCTAATAAATTATTGGAAAATTATGAAATTATATGTTATATGAAAATACAGAATATCAACTTAACTCTGTAACAACTATGTAAAAATATATATTATAAGAAATAAGCAAAAATTTAAAAGGTTGCCTAAGGTGGTAGGATTTTAGATGACTTATAAGTAGCTTTAGTAGCACATCTTTTAAAAATTCTGAGACTTCCAAATTGAACTAGAAAAAAGTACTTTTTATTATTTAAAACTTAATTTATCTGTGTCATGTTTTAAAAAAAACTGGCTAAAGACCTGACTTTCGATGTCCTCTTTTTCTATATCTTCTATTCCTTCTGCCTCTATTAATTCATGAGCTCTCTTGTTTTCTTCTGCAGAGATTAACTCCTTGGAATGCACATTTTCTTCTTCATTTTCACCAAATTCTTCAGAGTCCTTTAGTTCATCATTTCCATCTTGCTCATGTGCCTCTTGATTCTCCAATTCACAGTCCTTTTAATGGTAAGAAAATTTGGTACAACTAGAGGCAAAGTAGCGTGGGCTATCCACCAAATGTTTTTGGTAATTTACACCTTTAAATGTGTCAAATTTGATCATATTTTAATATTCCCAAAGTTCAATCATTTTACCTTATATATTAACTGTGTCTTTAAAGATAGGTCTAATACCACGATCATCAAACACGAATCTGAGTTCTCAAATTTCTCACACTAAAATGCACACTAATTGAATTGCTACTAGAGATGCTCTAAATTCCAGTTATTTAATATTTACCAAGCCACCTTCTAGGAGCTGTCCAAAAAATATGGCTTGATTTCTCCATGTGCCATACGTTGATTTAACTTCAAAGACTTTGGAAGTCTTATACATTAAAACAAAGTTTACTTCTAATAATAAAGAACACCCAACTGCTGCATCAATGCCTGTTCTTGAAAAATATGCAAATAACTAATTGAAATGTGTTTGTTTTGAAATCTACCACTGTGCCAAATGTCAATTAGGAAGGGTAACACAGGTTGGGATTGGGTCTGTTTGTCCTTCAAAGTTTACGGATATATGGGTACTTCAGTGAAAACAAAATCAGCAATCTGCTCAATTTCCTCTGATTAAGTGCAGAGAAAGGGGTGAAAGCAATAAAGGTTCCTTCCTTTTTTCCTGTTCTTATGGTAAATCCAGCGGATTTAAGAAAAGGCTTCTGGGTTAAAAGGTAAAAGAGGCAGAGGCATGACTACTAATCATTCACAGCTAAATTGCGGTGAGGAAACTGAAATTTCTATCGAGAGGTGGGCATAGAAAAGAATATGATTGTTTTGGAATGTGGAGTGCTTGCAGAGCAGGGGATCTCTTGTTTGACCAAACGTACTACAGTATGAGTTGGGGAACGTGAGGGGTTGAAAATGGAGTACATGGCTGTATTATGGCAGAAGTATAGGCGCAAGAAAGATCAAGGGAAGTTACCAAGGAAACTTCACCTATTCTGAGGTGCCAACTTTGACCAATCTCCTCACCTATTCACAGAAGCAATTTCTATACAATTCTGGTATTTAGGCAATAGGTGATATTTACCAACCATTACTGTATAAATTCCAAAATTATCAACTGTGGGAGATGAGAAAAATACATTCACTTAATTTCTATCAAATATATCACATGTTAATACTTCCAAAAATAAACTGAAGATATCTTTAAACAGAATTTTTAAAAAAGCTCCTAGGGCTGGGCGTGGTGGCTCATGCCTGTAATCCCAGCACCTTAGGAGGCCAAGACAGGCGGGCGGATCATGAGGTCAGGAGTTCGAGGCCAGCCTGGCCAACATGGTGAAATCCCGTCTCTACTAAAAATACAAAAATTAGCCGGGCCTGGTGGGGTACGCCTGTAATCCCAGCTACTCAGGAGGCTGAGGCAGGAGACTCTCTTGAACCAGGGAAGTGGAGGTTGCAGTGAGCCGAGATTGCACCACTGCACTCCAGCCTGGGCAACAGGGCGAGACTCCATCTCAAAAAAACAAAAACGAACAAACAAAAAGTTCCCTTGTTATTCTAGACGTTATGACCAGGTTTATTTAACAATAACACAAAGGCATCCTTTGTAGCACATATAAGAAACAGTACTATTATTCTTCTGAATAGACGTATATATCTCCTTAGGACATTTCAAATGACTGTAACATTTTTATGAACTGAAGAGCTGAAAGAAACAAATTTGAAAAGTAGAAGATTTTTTACTGAGTCACAATGTTTTTACAGCTTATGGATAATGTTTGCTTAATCATACACTTACTGGTGAAGACAACTGGAGAAAAATAGGAAGAAAGGAACAAACCTGATGGAAGATATATAATAAGGGTAACAGAATACCAAAACTTAAAGGCTCAAACACAAGCTGATTACAGACATGCAATCATCAATTTTCATGGATCCCTGGGCAAATAGTTCCTAAAATTATCTGCTTTCAGGGTTAACTCCTCAACAAAACACCTTCTGGGGGTAGGGCTGTGTATATGTGTGTGTGTGTGTGTGTGTGTGTGTGTGTGTCTGTATGTGCAGTGTGGAGAGTGAAGAGAGCTAGGAGGCAGGAGAGATGGGTGTGTAAATGAACATGAGCTGACTCTATGGTAAAACACACAAACATCAAGAGACATGATGACAATATGGACTAGTTTTACCCAGGAAACAGAATATATGGGGGCACAAATGTACATAATTCAAGAGAAACTATACTCATGAAAGAATTCCTGCAAATACCACAATACTTAAGAACAAATAAGCAGATCACTTTTCATTAAAATAATAATTTAAAAAAATTTTAAACCCTAACTACAATTATAAACAGCTTGTTCTATAGCTGTAGTATTTAGTACTGCCACAACCCCAATTAAAATTACATCCATAATTTTTCTGGCCAGCCAGTTTTGAAATACACTCATTTTTGGCCCCAAAAGGCCTCGCTTATTCATCTTTAAATGGCAAAACAAATTTCTTAATTTGATCTCTCTCTTTCTCTTTTTTTTTTTTGAGACGGAGTCTTGCTCTGTTGCCCAGGCTGGAGTGCATTGGCACCATCTTGGCTCACTGCACCCTCCACCTCCTGGGTTCAAGCAATTCTCCTGCCTCAGCCTCTCAAGTAGTTGGGATTACAGGCACACGCCACCACACCTGGCTAATTTTTGTATTTTTAGTAGAGATGGGGTTTTACTATGTTGGCCAGGCTGGTCTTGAACTCCTGACCTCAAGTGATCCACCCCCTAGACCTCCCAAAGTGCTGGGATTATAGGCATGAGCCACGGCGCCTGGCCCTTAATTTGATCTTTATCAAGTAGTAACCCCTCAGCAATTTTCTCAGTGTATTTTGAGGTCTACATTACTCTAAGTTCTGTAAATTATATACAAAAGCTAAATGCAATGGCAGATAAAAAATAAATTATCAATATCTTTCCCTGTGATATCTTGTCCAGGAACTAACATACATATCTATTATCTTGTAGCTATTTCCCTGGCCAGCTTTCTACCTAAAGGCCTGGAGAGATTATTATTTTTAGCTTTTGTATCTCATTTAATTAAAGTTATTTACTATATTTCTCAATTACGAGAGTTAATGAGATTGACAATATTATACATTGTCAGTATATAGGACTTTATCTTTAACCTACATACTTCAGTGACCATTCTTCAATGCAATGCACAAAATTCATGATGCAAAATACTAGGCTTAAAATAAACATCTTAACCTGAGTAATGAACACTTTACCTTGATAAAAGCATCATCTTCCACAGAAGCATCTCCACTCAACTCGTCTGCTTCATGTTTTTTACCTGTGAAAGAAGGAAAATGGGCTAACAACTGATATTTTACTTTAAGAACAAAAAATATTCAGAGTTTACCCTGCAATAGCACTCTCCACTCCCAAACTATCTAACAAAGCTAATGCCAACTGCTTATAAACCACCTGGTCAGAGCCGTCCCAAACAAAAAAAGCTTTCCTATGTCATGCTGTTTGAAATACACTGTGCACATACTCCTACACATGAACCCATCAGCTTAACTGATTTGACATGTATGATGCATTTTTCTTTACACCAGTTTAATTTTCTATCCTCAATTATCTGAGAAGTTGTGATACCTTTCAATGGCATTCTACTGACTATATATACACAGACACCTGATAGCTAAGTACAAGATCTGTACCTCCCACAAAGCCTTTCCTATGTTCTTCTCTTCAACAAGCATTCTCTGAAATAAAAATTCTCACACTTTAATCTTCATCTTACAATCTATCAGGTGATTGATGACATATTGCCTTGTACTCTGTCTCTAGTATACCTTGCCTCTTCATAAGAAATTCCTTAAATACAGTGACTACTTTTATGCTAATTATTTATTTATCCAAAAGCCTAAATATAAAGAGTGCTGGCCACTTAACATAGTAACTGATTTAAGGCATGCAGAAGTTAAGGCAAAGTGAAAACTGTTAATAGCTTTCAAACAAACTACAGACCTTCTTTGCCCATCTTCAAAACTTTGCAAACTGGTAGTTAGAATTTTTTTTTTTTTTTTAAGAATAATTATTTATTCTTGAGACAGAGTCTCACTCTGTTGCCTAGGCTGGAGTGCAATGGCACAATCTCGGCTCACTGTAACCTCCCCCTCCCGGGTTCAAGAGATTCTCCTACCTCAGCCTCCCAAGTAGCTGGAATTACAGGCACAAGGCACCATGCCTGGCTAATTTTTGTATTTTTAGTACAGACAGATGGAGTTTCACCACGTTGGCCAGGCTGGTTTCGAACTCCTGACCTCAAGTGATCTGCCCGCCTCGGCCTCCCAAAGTGCTAGGATTTACAGGCATTAAGCCATTGCGCCCAGCTGGTAGTTGGAACTTTAAAAATGCTTTCCACATTTAAAAAAAAAAAA